GTCTGGGCTTGTCCAGCGTAAAGGAGGGCGGAGGGCGGTGCCGCCCGGAGGGTGGCAATCCCTGCGAGCAGAAAAGAGGTGGTGTTTGAGAAGTTCCGAATTTTAGTAGTCGCAGAAACTGTCCCAGGTGTGCATATCAGTTGCTATGCAGCTGCAAAATAGGCTTTTTAACTGTAGACGACCTTATTTTGAACTTCCAGCACACCATGGGACGCCTGCATGGGCTCGAGAGACGCAAGCTGTAGATCAGGACAGTTCAGTAGATGCAGTGCGCGTCGAAGGCTCGCTTCTCCTCTGTATATCTTCGCCCGTTCCAAAAGGATGGAGTTAGGGTCGAGTTTGTTGCTCGACGTGCCCTTCACACAGCCTGAACGTAGCGAAGAGCCTGCGCCATTCTCGCTGGGAAGGATGTCAAGAACAGAAGAGGCAAATGTCACCGCGTCTCAGCCATATATAGAGCATGCGAGCGTTATACCCTCAAAAACGCACTTGAATCGCGCCAAGCCCTCCTCGACTTTATTGTGGCCCGCGATCGCAGTCTTCGTGGGAGTTACGTTGCTATTATTTTCACTCTGTGGCAGTGCCCGGAGCATCCATAGCGGTACGGCCGTGCGGAGACTTGCAACCCGTGGTAGCGGAGAAGAATCGAGTNCTGGCAGAAACCCCTTCTTTGGCGAGGAGGAGTGGATTCCACTCGATGCGGATGAGCTCGCGGTGCTGTGTCTTGAATTGGGGGGATGGGCACCTACGACAGCCCCTCAGAGCGTTTCAAGCCCTTCAATTCGGATGCCACCAGTAGTTTCAACGTCAAGGGGGCATGCGGGAACGTATATGTTGCAAGGTTTACAGACTCCCAGTGATCTGTCTGGGGCGTCGACAAGCGAGCAAGGGCACCGAGCGGCCGGGCAGTATAGAGGCCAGCGTATTTCGCATGGGGGTTCTGATGGGTGGGGGCCGAGTCCTAGCAAGGTACGAAGACGTTCATGTGATAGCTCTGAACAGACAGGTGCCGTGACAGGTGCTGTCACTGGGAGCAGCGCTGAGCAGAGACTTGCACAGGCAGTTCAGCAAACTACTGGCACGCCCTCTGCGGATGGCAAGCTGCTAGAGTCTGGAGCGGTGCCCACCCCATTTGCTCACGAGAAAAATCTAACGGCTTCGACCGGGGATATCCAAGGTGTACGGCAAACGCAGTTCTCTGTACGGTCAGGATTGCAGCAGTCGCGAACTATCCCTCCGGAGACCTCCACTGCTCCGCCTACAGGAAGCGCCACCCGTACTGTAGCCGCCTTGGCAGACTCCGAAGAGGCATCAGCGTCGGAGAGCGTGTGGGTGCCTGGGGGTCAAAGCGGTTCATTTGCCACTGCGGGGCCGGCCCCAAATGGCTCTGGCGAAGCCTCAGCAGGATTAGCAGCTCTTCGGTCGTTCCTAGGGCAAAGCGATCCAAGATCCCCGAGTACCAAGAAGCATCCTTTTGTTCGAGTGCCCACTTTATCGCCTCATGTGAGAGTCTCGGAAATAGAGGAGAGGCATCCGCAACCTTGGTCTCCCGACGAGCCCATTTACCACATCCTCAGGGATGTTAGAAACTTATTTCTAAAGCCGGCGCTCAGCCTTAGAGAGGCGAATCAGTTGGTGAGCGGTGCTATTAGGTTAGCTAGGCGCGCCCTCTCATCTATGACTTCACCTGTCGATTTTAGGGCCTCTGTGGCTGCAGAAGCTTTAGGACGTCGGTTCCTAGTTTTCAACGCATTTCATACAGTCCTGAAGCTTACGGGAGGCAGCAAACCGTATTTGAGTGGATTGTGGCGGGATCTTGTTGCAAAAGTTCCAACGCTGTACACGCGTGCTCCCCGCGGTATGTTCAACGACAAGCATAGGTTTCATCATGAGCTTTCGTACCAGCTAAGCGCAGCACTGGAATTATATAAGAGTGGGTCCTCCCCTTCAGAGGAAGAAATGCTTGATATCAAGCGCAAGCTATTTTGCATGGAATTCTCTCCTCATTGCTTCCGTCGAGGGTGTTGGGATCTATGGAGACATGACGACGCGAACTTTACAGGTACTTCGTGATTTTGTGGAGAGTGGATTTTCTTGTTCGACCGCTGAGGACTCGCAAATCAATTTGGTTGGCCACANGATGGGGACTGTGTTTGTGTACCGAGTTCCGCAACACCCCCGAAAGTCCAACAACACGATTGAGTGGGTCTTCCGAGGTGCAAAAAAACGTATCGCCCCACGTCTATACAGACGCTTGACCAGTTTGGCCGAGTCGAGTCTATTAGGTCTGTATGAACTGCATCGATATGCTGTGCAAACCTTAACCATTTGAGGTTGTCTCGGAATCTCGGAAGCGTACAGATAGATCCTGGATTTGGCAGACACACCCAGATGCTCAGCGAGCAAATAGGGTAAGGTAATATATCCGGGAAGTGACTGTAACTGCACAGCTCGTGCTGATGTCCGTCCGCGCTCCCTATGTGTTAACCGTTGAATGTTTTCGTTGTACGAATGCGTGGGGACGGGGTCCTGCACAGCTGCTGCTGCGCTTGCGTGGCCTGTTTTCTGTTCGACGGCGTGCTTTCTGGGGTGAGCACGGTGGAAGTTGCTTGCAACGTTGAGAGATGCGCATGCTGCGCTTTCGGCTGAGCAGAGTGGGCGTTGAGATGGGGTGGCGTGGGCGCGTTTGAGTTTCGAATTCTGGGGGACCTTGGAAGTGGCGAGGGTGAGGAGTTGGGTTTGCTCCGCTGAGGGGGGTGCGTCTGCACGATATTTGTAGTAGATGCGCTGGAACGACTCTATGGTGTCCTTCTTGTAGATTCTGCAGCGGCATGTGCAGTAACCATTCAGTATCCGTTGCCAAGATATATACGAGTTTCAAGTTAGAAGGGGGTCCACCTCTCTTGTTATTGGCGCTGCCCAGGGGAACAGCACCTCACGGAGCAAACCCAGAAGAAACAGAAGCAGACTGCTCCCTAGCATCTGCTTATTCCTCTCAACGCACTAGCATCCGAGCGTCTTCGAGGGCGTTGGCGGCCGCTTTCGCTGGTTACCGGCAATTTTTTGCATGTACCATGCACACCGATCCGTGTTCGGGCGCTTCGCAAGTACGAAGAAACAGACTGAACAACAGCGAGCACCGAAAGATATGGGGCCAAGGAGTGACAGTTGAGCACCTGTAGGTCAGCTTTTGCTTGGGGATTAAGAAAGTCTTTTTGCAGGGTGGCCCGTCGGATGTTATATTTGCCGTTTATTCTGGCATTATAAAACACTGAAGAAATGGGGCATGTGGCTCTTCGGCAGACGCAGGGTGTAGTAGGCAGACCTAAGGCGCCTCCACAACACAGCCACTATTTTAACTACAGCAAGCAGGACCTTTTGGGGAGCAGATAGGCTAAAGGGATCCTCCAAGTCGGTAGGGACGCAGGTATCACAAACAGAAAAACGCCGGTAATTATAAGTAGTCAAATGTGTTTTGCTCGTGACCGTCCCCTTTCCTGGTTGGTTTGTACCAAGAAGGGGAGGGCAATTTGTCCTCAATTCGTTCTTTTCCTTCATCTACGCTTTTCATGCACTGACATTTTGCTGAAGCCGTGCATATCGGTAGGACGGAGTTGGCTGCGAAGAGCTAGGCGCCCGCCATCGTTGGGTCAGCCAACGGTGTATTGGTGTAAAGAAAATCAAAGGAACAACCAATTGGAAAATATCTCTTCAGTACTGCGGGTGAAGATAACCGAGTGACTCGCGTGGCTCACGGCGCTCGAGGTGATGGATCTTGACTTTGAGGCGCAAAGGCATATCGCAGAAGAATGTCTTGGCTAACATTGGCTCATTGGAAGCATTAGTTCAGTTCGGAAATCCACGGAGCTTGCGGATCTTTCTAATGAATAATTGGAACGCTATTCTAGCTTTCACTGAACAAGACCAGGGCTAGAAAATGATATACCTGCTGAGCCAGNAAAAGGGACGTGTGAAGGTGTTTAGGGGCTCGCACCTCGGTGGGCATTGCAGAAGAGGAAGGGCGCACTGGGAATGGAGGGGGTTGGATCGTAGGGTAGCATCAGGATATCGGCACCTTCTTACTGGTATCGTGAGCCTGCTGAGATGGGCAGCAAGTGTTTCCGTCCCAACGTAAACTTGCCTCTGTTGTGTCAGGCTATTGCGTGCGAATTGAAGGCTTCGAACCTGTTAGGCCGGGCAATTCAACGGAAACATGGTCATTTGAGCGTCTTAATTTAGCTATCGAAACGCAAAAAGGAGTCTCTAGTGCATGGCACAAGGCGTAGTGAGTGTCTGATGGTGCGCTTTCGCGATGAGGCAGACGAGTAGCCTCGCCGTTAAGGTTAGGAGGAAGGGGGCTCGAACACCCTCTGGTACCGGTGGTACACTTCCAGGCTAACTGGAGGAGTGTTTGCCCAGGACTGAGGAATTTCTATCATAGGAGTTAATAAGATAAACAAGCCCTGGGGGAAACTAAGTAACACTAGTATTTGATGATGTCGATGTCACAGCCATTCGTAGGCCAAGAGCGGAAGCGACACACGGTAATAGGCCCAGAAGAGGAAGTGTTCGGAAGAAGCATCCAGTCAGTGCAACGAGCGTCTTAGGAAGAATAGAACGTCAGTGCAACGAACGTCTTAGGAAGAATAGAACGTCAGTTATATAGAATAGAACGTCAGTTATATTACTCCGAAGTTTATGAAGGATTATATTTTGATTTGGCATTGCGCTGCCCAAAACTGGATGGGGTGGAAAGGCTCAGGTTCAGTTGTAACCGCAGGGTCTTGCAGTATGAGGATCCGCTCTGACGGGCTGTCTCCTAATTAGTTCACATGCAGTGGGATTTCTCTAGTCTTGGTATTCTACTTTGTACGAGCTTCTTCTCACTAGGAACCCCTAGACAATCATCACATTGTAGTGCCCCNGCCCCAGAACGGCAGCGGCCTTGGAGGCCGCCCAAATGTGGCAGCTTGCTAAACATAGTAGGAAAGCTGCTTATGTTCGATTAACGGGTTAAGACACATAGTAGAAATTCGTTTCTTTAGTTCCTGTTTGGTTTTCATTACTGCGCCTGGCCTCCAAAGCTCTGCGTCACGGCAGCCCTGTGGACCAACGAGACCGGCGAAGCATCGGCGTTCAGGGGATGGTGGGGACCGTAGGTGCTCAGACAGGAGAGGTTCATTTGCTTTACCCATTCTCAAAGCCGTAGATAATCTCTATTTGTTGCCTTTTCTGCATACTGGAGTGCTAGCGCACCGCTGAAGGGATCCTATACTGCTCATCCGTCTACCCGATTTGGTGAGGAGCTGTGGGGCAGCCTCCATCGAGCCAGTGGGCTGTTAATGAATATCAGGTACTGAAATGGGAGTTCTACGATGCTGGCTTGGAAAGTGAAACAAGACGTGTGTGGTGTTCCGTTGCTTAACCTGCGTTTGTAGAGATTTGGTGAGGACGATAATGCCAAAACGGCGGCGGTTGCCCAGCAGGCGAGCCGCTGTCTCTGCGAAGCACAGGGAGAAGGCATCTTAGGAACTTCCGTATTCTTGGAAACAATCCTCTGTCGTGGAGTCATGTTTTTATGGCGGTGGAAAAAAGTGCCTTTTAAGTTGCAGACCGCTTAGTTTTCAACTTTCATCATCGTCTGGCCCGATGGGGTCCGCAAATGGTCGAGAGACTTAGCATATAATGCAAACCAATTAATTCGAACAACTGCGCGCTGGGGACACACATTTTCTTCTGTATATTTTGATATTTTGCGGGGAGGATGGAGCTGGGCTTGAGTTTGTCGCCCGAGCAGCCTTCGGATAGCGAAGAGCCTTGGCGGTTGCTTCAGGGGCATACGAATACCAACACACGTAAGCCAACGAAGGAGACTGTGCTTTCAAACCGGTATTCGAAACGGGTCAAGGTCAACCTGGTTACATTGTGGTCTACTGTCGCTTTCCTTGCGGGAGTTTCCTTGCTATTTTTTTCATTCTGTTGTAGTGTCCGAAGGATCCATAGCGGCGGAACAGTGCGCAAACTTGCAGATCATGATGCCGGAGAAGAATCTAGTGTTGGGGGAAACCCTCATTTCCTTGAGGACGAGTGGATTCCTCTCGAAGCGGATGAGCTCGCGGCGCTGTGTGCTCAATTGGGGGAGTGGGAACCGTCACCGGCCCCTCATAGTGATTCAACCCCTTCGACGAGTACGCCGGAGGTAGCTTCAACGTCTAGCAGACATGGTGAAGAGTATATCTTGCAAAGCATGCTGACGCCGAGCAATGTGTCTGGGGTGTCGTCAAGTGAACAACAGCAGCATTCGGTCGGATTCAAACATTATAGGGGCAAACGGATTTCGAAGGAAGACGTTGATGCATTGGGGCAGGTACCTAACAAGTTTGGCAGGCGTGCGTATGATGGCGCTTTAGATACAGGCGCCGAAGTTCGGAGTAGTCCTGTGCAACAACTGGGGAAGACTGCTCAACAAACAGCAGCGACCTTCACGGATTTCAGACTTTTGGGGCATCAAGAAGCACCCATAGCATTTATTCATCAGAGGGAACCTGCATCTTCGGTGACGGGTCGCGACGGTGCCCAGCAAGTGCAGCTCGCGACACCACCGGTATTACGGCCGTCACCAACTAGCCCTTCAGAAAGATCTCTTGTCCCATTTGCAGGGAACGCCATTCCCAATGTAGAGTTCATCTCAGATTCCATACGAGCGCCTGCGTCCCAGAGCGTATTGGTGCCTGGAGGACAAAGTGGGTCATTGGCCTTAGCGGAATCTCCTCCACAACGACCTAACGAAACCTCAACACGATTAGCACGGATCCGGATTTTGGTACGGCCAGAAAGTCCAAGCACCTCAAGCGACAAGCATCCTTTTGTTCGGATGCCTACCTTACTGCCGCACGTGAGAATCGCGGACATAGATGACAGTATTCAGGACGGGCGTATCACAGATGTGCCCATATCTACCACCCTACGGCATGTCAGGAACTTGTTTCAAGGACGGGCGATCGGCCTTGCAGAGGCAAATGAAGTGGTGCGAGCCGCTATCAAATTGGCCCGACGAGCTCTGTCATATATGACGACTTCGCTTGATAAGCTCTCGGCGTCTGGGGCTGTAGATGCTTTAGGACGTCGGTTCCTGGTTTTCGATGCATTTCATAAAGTTCTGAAGCTTACAGGAAACAGTAAACCCCGTTTGAGGCGATTATGGCTGGCTCTTGTTACGAGAGTTCCAACGATGTATGATCCGCTTCCCCGGGGTATGTCTAATGAGAGGCATAAGTTCCTGCACGACTTGGCGCGACAGCTATGCGCAGCACTGGCATTGTACAAGACTGGGTCTTCGCCCTCAGATGCAGAAATACTTGATATCAAACGCAAATTGTTTTGCATGGAGCTCTCCCCCAAGGGCTTCCTTCAACAGTCTTGGGATATATGGAGGCTTGATGACACTAACTTTACAGGCTCTTCGTGATTTCTTGGGGATCTGATGACCTCGCTTCACTGTGAAGGAGCGCCGACAGAACTTGGTACGACGAGGAACTTGGTCAGCGTCGTCGGTGTACGTAAAACTCTACAATTTAGTGGATCATCGGCGCAACAGCAAAGGAGATCCAAACACGCGTCTCTGTGAAGGTTTTGGTGGGCGCAAATTCAGCGGTTGTGCTTCACGTGTATCTGTCTGCTGTGTAAATTTGAAGGATTCGCTATTGTCTAGGAATGTCGGAAGTCTGTAGAGGGAATGTGGAGTTGATATCGACAAGCAGATGTTCAGCGCGCGAGGGTCGGTCTGGAGTCAATAAGTCTAGAGAGTGACCGCAGATGCACAACGTGTGGCGGTCGTCGTTCGTGCTACCAATCTGTTAACTGTTGTTCGCCGTTGTTCTAGGGATAGTCGCCAGGAGATTCTGCACAGCCCCTTGCTAGCTTGAGAACACGGCCTGTTAGTTGTTACGCCGCATGATTTTTATCGAGAGCATAGTGGCAGTCGCCCGCAGCATTGAAAGATACATTTGGCACTGTCTTGCACACGTTGCGTCTACCTGAGCATGTTAACTGTATCCGACACTCCGGATCGGTGGTAAGTTGTCCTTTTTGCATAGTCTGCTGCAACGTGTGCAGCAGACCGTCGGCACCTNTATCCCAATATGCACGAACTTTCCGTCGGAGAGGGCTGTCTTCGCTGCCAACGTCTGCAGCAGTCCGCAGAGAAGACGCAGAAAACAGAATAAAACTGCTGAACGGATTCCCTATATTCTTCCCAGCTCTAGCATTGGGGAGTCTTCGCGGGCGTTGGTCGTGTCGTTTGCTGGTTGTTGCTGCATTTGTTTTTGGCACTTCCGCATCAACTCATGTTCATGGATATCTAACCAATAAGACAAGAGCGAGCCCAGGAAGAGGTGTGAGAGGCGTGCAGCCACTGGCTATTAGGCTGATTGCTTTTGTTTGGATTTAAGATCTCACTGCGGACATCGGATATTAGCCTCGCCGTTTATTGTAGCATTAGGAGGATCTGAATGGGTGGTCCACATGGCGCTATACACGAGCTGCGGCATTTCCTGTGGGCAATCGGGCTGCGACTACGTTTCGTTGGTTGCACCCTCCACCTGCGTTTTTCGTTGCGGTCTTTTTGTTGCAGCAGTTTGCTATACAAGGGAAGTCACCTGGCCCAGCGTGCCGCTGCTTGAACTTGCATTTTTTGCTGGATTGTGTATTTTCAGGTGCAGAAGCAACGGCGGCTTGGCGAGCGAGCGCCAATCGCCAGGGAGCCAGGTTGGCGCGGCCTTGTTGCGGACTTCTCTCCCTGCTTTGGTCTGTTGTTAAGCTAGACAGTTACCTGCTCGTTGTGCCATTCCGCTACCTGTTTGTACGACGCTGGAGCACGACAGGGCGGATGATGAACAAAGCGAAACGGCGGGAGGATTCTGAATGTCACCCTCCCAAGCAAAGCAAGTGTATGCAAGACCACCAACAGGTTTTGTTCACTTTTGTTTTTCTGCGCGGCGTGTTGGATACATATGAGGATGAATTACTCCATCTACACATGTTGGAGACGTTACTGCTGTGCCCACGAAGTGAGAGACTCAGTCTTTTAGAAGTTTTGCCTACAAACGTTAGCCATATATAGTTGAAGACTATCGCGCACACCGAACAAACGACGGCATCTTATTAGTGAATCCCTCATTAGGAACCTATATAGACACAACGGGCCCGTGAAACTGCAAATTAAGACAGATTGGTTCACCGTATGAATCTCTAGCTACCATGGCACTAATGCAGGTAGCTGGGGTGGCAGCACGGTGCACCCAGAGAACGTAGAAAAAGCAACGAGTAAGCTATTTCGGGAGGATAGTGGATGATAACGCTACTTTGACAGTATACTGCGGTGCTGGCACAGACTTGGAGGCAATGTAGCAGCTTCTGTAAGATGGTGCGGCTTAAGTATATTTGTGCGCAGATTGACCGCGGAAAACCAAGCGAGTAAACAGCAACTAAGTGCGGTGTTAGTCCATGCATCGTCAGGACATTTTGATATCCCGGTCTCTCGGATTGCTTTTCGCCACGTTCCCCAACAGGATGTGCCGCAACTCAAATTCTGCTTCCTTCTCGCACAAGCCGAAAAACCCTTCGAGAGAGCGCATTCAGTGGATGGACTCCCACAAATGGGAGTCCATCCACTGAATGCGCAAAACACTCCAAGACAGGAAGACAATGCGGCAGACGAACATGTACTGNTAGCAGAGTGGACCGCAGCTTACAGGCAGAAATAGTTGTGTGTAGAGGCTGTAGCCACATCTAAACGCTCACACAAGCCGGCACCGCTCTTCCAGCGAAAACCTGCAAGAACCTCTGTCCGATAGCTAGGCTCAAAGGGTATTTCAAAACACGTTTTCTCTGTGGGTCCTCTGCCCACTTGGAACGATGTCTTGGCTTTGTTTGCGACACACGCGTCGCTACAGATTTGTGTACGGCATTACCCATTATTGATGTTTTTGCACCCCAGTAGGGGAAATCATATGACCTAGCTCTGTACATTGCGTTCCTGTATTTTCTTCGTACATTTGCATTTTGCCCTGAACTGTGTGTGGAAGCCCTGCATTTAGGAAGGACGGGGCTGGCGGTAAACAGCTAAGCATCAACATCGGATCCTCTGCGGCGTTCCGTTGTAAACTGCGATATCGGGGGATCATTTTGAGAATTGCACCGTTGCATTATAACTTTTCCCCCACCTGAAACTCATCGGTAGAGTCGTGGGGCTCATGGCTCCTGAGATGATTGGAACCAGGCCGCCAACTGGAGAGGGTCTCTGCTGCCGTATGGAGACTCGAAACCTAAGTATTTTGACTCTCTTGCAGCTAGCGACGGTCCTCGAATACGCACGAGGACTCCTGTTACAGGATAGATCTAGCCATTGAGACAAAAGCCGCCTGCTAGTTTTGTCTTCCTGTATGCAATAGTAATGTTCGAACATCGACGTAGCTTGCGGGTGTGCCTAATGAATAGTTGGAGCATTATCCCAGCACTTAGTAAGAAAGACAAGGGCAAGGGGCGGGCTTTCCTGCTGAGCCTTTCCACAGCAGTTTAGACGCTGGAGTAGCATTTGAGGGGTGACCAACCTATCGTTGACGAGATGGCCATAAGGAGTAGTGCGAAGGCTTGTGGCATTGGGGGTTCGGGCGATCCAGGGAGGGAAGGGTACACTCACCAGATAAGAGGCCTATCTCAGGGCATCATACGGACCTACTCACCCACTTAGTCGTCTATTGACCCAGTTGAGATAGACAGAAAGCGATTTTTTTTTTCATCAATTCGGCTTTGTGGTCGTTGGCTGTGGTGCGCGACCGGGGGGCATCGAACCAGTCATGCTGGGCATTCAACTGGAACGTCTTCATTTACATGTTGTAATTCAGGTTCGCAAATAGAAATCGGGTGTTTCGATGGCATTGTGAGAAACGTACTGCGTCTGCTACGGTGCGTTTCCGTGATGAGGCAGACGGGTGGTGTCACCGTCGCGGTTAGGAGAAAGNAAAATCTGCTTAATCCCTTTTAATGGATGAAAATATATGAGAGGAACTCGTTTTCGGGGTCCCGCCCCGGTTTTCATTGGTGCTCCAGGACACCACGGTCGAGAAGCTTCGGGGCGGTGCAGCTCTGTGGACCGCCGAGACCGACGGGGCATCGGCATGCAGACGGGGGTCGGATCCTTAGGAAAGCAGACTGAAAAGATGCAAAAACTTGCTTTAACTGTTTTCAAAGCCTTGGAGAATCTTGTTTTTGGGCTTCAGCACTAGAGTGGAGTTCTATAGCTTCCCGGAAATGATCCTAAACTGTGCATCCTGGCGGCGGTCTGGACGTTCACACAACACCTGTCTTCGCGGTGAGCTGTGGGGCACCGGCCATCGAGAGTGATCTGCGAGTAAATATTATGCGCTGAATTAGCGATTCGTCTATGCTGAGTTGCAAAGCTAAATAGAACGCTAACGACGCTTCGCCGCTTTGCTGGGCTATGGTAAGGTTTGCTTGGGAGATGACCCGTCTGTGTCTACGGTTAAGAAGAGTGTTTTGTGATGGCTCGTTGCTGCACTAACGAAGTGTGATGTTTCGTAAGCGAGGTGGTATCTCAGTGTTACCGCTTGTCTAGCACCAGGAGGCGAGCCCATGTCGCCGCCAACCAAGGGAGCGAGCCGTTTTAGGGATGGTGAATTTGAGCACTCTTGGAAGGAGTCGCGCGTGTGTAGTCGTGTTGCTATGCAGATGTTAAAGTGCATTTGGAGCTGGAAAGGGCATTATATTGGCGTTCTAGCACATTATCACTTGGGCGCCGTGGGGCAAATAGTAGCAGCACAGTTCATTCGAACAACTGCCAGCTGACGAAGCCTTTTCTTTTGGATATTCTCCCTTCTTTTCTCCAAAAAGGATGGCATTCGTCCTGAGTTCATCACCGGGGTCACCGCTTATGCAGCTTCATGGCAGCGAAGAACAGCAGCGATTGTGCCCGGGGTGTACGTCAGCAACAGAAGACCCCAATATGCTTGCGCCTCGGCCAGGTGAACAGCAGGCGAGTGGTATACAATCGGAACGATATATAAAACGCTCAAATACCCGCTTGATTTCGTTGTGGCGTACTGTCGCTTTCCTTGTGGGAGTGTCCTTGCTCTCGTTTTCGATATGTGGCAGTGGTCGAAGGGTCCAAAGTGGTGCGACGGTGCGGAAACTTGCAGATCGCGATGCCGGGGAAGAATCTAGTTCTGGGGCAAACCCGTATTTCAGTGAAGATGAGTGGATTCCTCTCGATTCTGACGAGCTCGCGTTGCTGTGTGCTGAGTTAGGGGGATGGGCACCTCAGGCCGTCCCTCATGGTGTTTCAACCCCTTCGGTTCGTATGGNATGTGTCTGTGGCGCCGTCAATTGAGCAGCGCCTCTCAGGGGTTGGATCCATGCACAAGGGCAAACGTATTCCGCAGAAATATTCTGATGGCTGGGAGCCGACTGCTAAGAAAATTGGTAAGCCTGCCTATTTTGGATCTGTAGAGACAGCCGCCGAAGATCAGAGCAGCGCTGTACAACGACTCCGAGAGACTGCTCAGCAACCAGCCGCGACCTCTACGGGCTTCAGACTTGTAGAGTTTTCAGCCGTACCTACCAATTTTTCACATCAGCAGGGACTAGCACCTTCGCTGGTGGATCTCCAAGGTGCGCAGCATGTGCAGCTCGCGGCACCGGCAGTAGTACAGCCATCGCCAACTATCGCTCGACAAGCCTCCTCTTCTCTGTCTGCAGCAAGCACCACTCCTACTTTCGAGACTTTCCGATATCCCAAAGAAGCTTCGGTGCACCAGAGCGTCGGGGTGGCTGCGGGTCAAAGTGGTTCATTGGCCCCACAGGGCCATTCTCCACACCGTTCTACCGAAGTATCAACACGATTGGTAAAGCTCCGGACGTTATTAGTGCCAGGGGCTTCAAACTCTTCGAGCAGCAAGCATCCTTTTGTTCGCGCGCCTATGTTAATGCCCGATGTGAGAATTGAGGACGTAGAGGACCGAATTCCGGAATCTTTGATCTCAAAAGACTCCTCAGTTTTCCTCTTGAAGGCTGTCAGGAGCTTATGTCTGAAGCCAGCCCTGGACCTTAGAGAAGCAAATGAATTGGTGCGTGCCGCGATTAGCTTGGCCCGGCGCGCTCTGGCATCTATGACTACACCAGTTGACAAGGTGAAGCCCTCTGTGGCTGCAGAAGCCTTAGGACGTCGGTTCTTAGTTTTTGACGCGTTTCATAGAGTTTTGAAACTTACTGGAGACATCAAAGACGACTTGCGGGGATTATGGCAAGCTCTGGTTACGAAGGTTCCAACAACGTATGCTCGCCCTCTTCGGGGTATATACAACGAAGATCATGTCTTCTATCATACCTTGTCGCGACAGCTAAGCGCAGCACTCGAATTGTATAAGAATGGATCTTCGCCGTCAGAGGACGAGATACTTGATCTTAAACGCAAGTTGTTTTGCACGGACTTCTCTCCCCGGGGCTTCCTTCGACAGTCGTGGGACGTATGGAGACTTGATGATATTAACTTTACAGGCACTCCGTGATTACCTGGGCCCCGGATTTCCCCGCTGCAGTGCAGAGGAACAGCGACTGAACTTAATGCGACGCAAAATGCGGAATGTGCTATCGGACTTTGGGGCGTTTCGACGAAGTATATCCAGCTCCACAATTGGATGGAATGTGGGCAAAAGGACAGAAGAGATCCTGCTACGCATATATTAGAAGGCCTCGGTGGACCTACTTCCACCGGGTGTATTTCAACTCCATCTGTCCGTTGCGCAAACCTGAACTATCCCTTGTTCTTCAGGGNACTTCCACCGGGTGTATTTCAACTCCATCTGTCCGTTGCGCAAACCTGAACTATCCCTTGTTCTTCAGGGGCATCGGAAATGTAGACAGTGAATCAGGGCTTGATGCTCACTCCCAGATGCTGAGCGCGCGGATAGAATCAGTGTGGAGGCAATCGATGTAAAGAGTAATCGCAAATACACAACGTGAGCTTGCGATCGTCCGTACTCTATACGTGCTCACTGTTGTATGTTCGTGTTGTACGGACCGTTGCCAGGTGATTCTGCGCAGCACACTGTGCCCCCGCAACCGCGTGGCCTATTCTTTCTTTCACCGCGTGATTTTTATTGAGAGCACGGTGGGATGCAAGATTGTTAGTTAATTCTGCACTGGTCTCCCCTTTTACCGCTCCCAGAGTGAACAGTACTCCCCTGCCAACCGACGTAAGCCCCCTACTTACATACGAGTGCTGCTTACATGGGCGCGTTTGAGCGTGAATTTTTGAGAATCGCTTGGAAGGAGCAAGACGTTGGCGGTGGTCCGAGGCGAAGGGCTACTTGTGCATGTTAGTTGTAGCAGACGGTCCGAAGCGATGGTAACTTGCCCTGGTTGCA